AGAGAGAGAGAGAGAGAGAGAGAGAGAGAATCGGTCGTACCAGTTTCTTTCCATCAGTCCCCACAAGATTTACAATATCTTGGACAAGTTCCTTTAAAATTCCGACTGTGGCAGCTCCTGCTGCAAATTTTGTGCTACTATCAGAAAAATTCCACCAGTGATATCGCAGGTAGGTCAGACACGAGATGTCAACCTCTAACATTTTTCTCAAGCCAACAACAAACGTATCATTGAAATTTACAAGGCCTGCTTGATCAAGAATACTTCGACTGATTTTATATGAATCTTCACAAAAATTCAAGTGAGCAACGAAATCAGCCAATAGCGTTCTGTTTTTTGGGGTAGCACTATGAAAATGTTCGTTCAAAATCTGAAGATATTTTTCAAGCTGAGTTTTGTCACCATCTCTCAAATGTATCACACTTTTAACTCCACTCATGAAAGCTTCACACAAATTTTGATTTTCTGTTAAGAGCTTCATGCACGAAAGTAGATTCTGAGGATTTAAATCCAGCTTGAGTAGTTCTCTTTCAAGATCAGCTTTTAAATTTTTAGACTCTTGATCAGATTCATCCTTCAACACAGGAGCATCATTTTGTGGAGCTGATGTCTTTGGGAGGCTTGCATCATTGTCGTTGTTTCTCTGAGTCTGACCATCCGTTGTTCTCTTGGGAGCTGCTGGTTCTGTGGGTGAGTCTTCTCCATTGTTGCGAGGCTTTCCAAGCTTCTGAGATGACTGCAGCTTGAGCTGGTCATCTCCTTTAGCTGAGGAGAGAGAAAAGGTATGAAGTGGAGTTGTGTGGGGTGGTGTTGTGTGGGGTGGTGTTGTTGTGAGGGGTGGTGTTGTGTGGAGTGGTGTTGTGTAGGGTGGTGTTGTGGTGTGGTGTAGTATGGCGTGGTGTGGGGTGAGGCGGTGTGGTGTGGTGAGGGGTGGGGTAGGGTGGGGTGATGTGGTGTGGTGTGGGGTGGGGTAGTGTGATGTAGGGTGGTGAGGGGGGGGGTATGATGTGGGGTAGTGTGATGTAGGGTGCTGTGGGGTGGTATGGTGTGGTGTAGTGTGTCTGGAGGGGTGGTGTGGTGAGATGTGGGGTAGTGTGATGTAGGGTGGTGTAGGGTGGAGTGGTGTGGTGTGAGGTAGTGTGGGGTAGTGTGATGTAGGGTGGTGTGGGGGTGGAGTGGTGTGGTGTGGAGCCGTGTGGGGCAGTGTGTCTGGTGGGGTGGTGTGGTGTGGTGTGGTGTGATGTATGGTGGTGTGGTGTAGTGTGGTGTAGTATGTCTGGTGGGGTGGGGTGGTGTGGTGTAGGGTGGAGTGAGGTGGAGTGGGGTTGTGTAGGGTGGCGTGTGGTGGCGGGTGGTGTGGGGTGGTATTGTTTTGAGTGGTGTGGAGGTGGGGGTGGTGTGATGTGGGATGGTGTAGGGAGGGGTGGTGTGGTGTGATGTAGGGTGGGGCAATGTGGGGGTGATGTGGTGTGGTGTGGGGTGGGGTGGTGTAGTGTGGTGTGGGATGGTGTGACGTGGTCTGGTGAAGTGTAGTGCGTGTGTTGGGGTGGTGTGGGGTTTATTTGGTGGTTTTATTTTGCTTTGTTTAGTAAATATGTTATGGCGCTCGCAACTGCTTCAGGTTATATGAGCGTACGAGACACATTAATCATTTTCCGTTTGGTTGGAATTGAATTTGAATTTTCCCAGAGTTGGAACCAAGGCCTATTCTTATCGATTTTAAGATCACCAAGGGATTTCTAACATGCACAATTTGCAAACAGGACCTCCGTTTCTCCCTTGCCCGAGAAGGATGTAAAGACAGCAATAAGAAGGAGCCAGTAGCAGCACTAGAAAGAGTCAGGAGCCCAGATGAGGGGGGGGGGGGCACAAAGTGGAGAAGAAAGTAGATGACAGAACAATATGATTATAGAGAGCAGGAAAGGAAGTGAAAGGATAACATTTTAGTGGAGAAACATTTCCGTCACTGTCAGGTTTCGAACCCGAAACCTATTGAATGAGAGGCGAACACCGTGCCTCTAGACACGAGAGCTATGCTGTGGGGTGGGGTGGTGTACATGTACTGTGGTGTGTGATGAGGCATGGCATGGCATGGATTTAACATCTCTGTAAACACTGGCCGGTCAAACAACGGGACTTTACCACTTCAAGTTTATCTTAGACAGGACCGAGAGAAGATCGCGGGGAGCTTTGAAAACAGAAGAAACAACAAATTTCGAGGATATCGCCGTTGGACATACGGTGCCAAGAAAATAACTTTGCGTTACATTAAAGTTTTGAAGTTAGAGTTTTCACTGTTGATATACTAGTTTCATATATATTCATTTACAAGCGAAAAGACAAAAACATGGGGAAAAGTCGAAGTCGAAATGGTTTATAGTTCATCCGTTTTTAAATAGTTGGATAAATGAAATCCTTTAAAGCACATCAATGATCTCTAGAGCATTGGATACGCGTATTCGTAATTTAATACATAAATTATGAACATTCATTCTTTAATCTTGTCGTCAAAGCATTGTACGGTGAACAGGATAAGTGTAATCAACAAACAATTCAAGCTTACACATGTGCACAGCCATGACATCGTAATGATTTTATTTCCTGGTTGATTTGCAATATTACATGACAAATAGCTTATGCAGCTAAGACGGTATGGTTCCGTTGAGAACATTTGCTTTCCGGTTTTACGATTTGCTATGATTATAATTTATTTCATCAGATAATAGACGCTTTATTTGTGCTCTTACCACAACTTTACTCAACCAGGAAGACACAATCACAATTAGTGATTGAGTTTTTCTATCTGTGTGCATACGTGTGAGGTAATTATGAGTAATAATTATTTATACCGTTTGAAAGCAAACCGGCATATTGAGTAAAAATAACATAACCAACACTCCCAGCTTCCTCCTTCTCCACATCATGGTCGCCTTTCCAAAGTTTCACAAATATCATATGGTAGCTCAATGCTTATTCACAGAAACAGCCTGACGGGACAGGCATGGGAGTGATCAAAGAGGTTTATCGTGCAAGATGAAAAAAAAACAACAGCTAAGAGAATTTCAAAATATTTACATTAAATCACACACACACACACACACACACACACACACACACACACACACACACACACACACACACACACACACACACACACACACACACACACACACACCCTCTCTTTCACACATGCACATACACACACACACACACACACACACACACACACACACACACACACACACACACACACACACACACACACACACCCTCTCTTTCACACATGCACATACACACACACACACACACACACACACACACACACACACACACACACACACACACACACATACATACACACACACACACATACACACACACACACACCCAAACGTACACACACATACACACGCACTCACACAAACACACACACAGAGCATATTTTGTAGCCTACCTTTGGCAAAAATCTCGTTCAGTTTGCCTCTTCTTACTAAATTGTGGTGCAAAAAAAAAGGGGGGGGGGGGGATTCCCCTTTATGACAGTGTATCAGCAGAAAGAGAAAATGAGAGAAGCCAAAGGTAACAACCCATTCTGTTCCAAACACAAGCTGTGGAATCAAGACAAAAGAGTCTGAAGACGAGCAACACGTTACAATACTCCACTGATGAAGGCAGCCCTCTCACACCTGAAGGATGAGCGATTTGTACTAATCTAAAAACTTTCAGAGAAACAAACCAAAGTTAAAAAAGAAAACTACAATACAGATTGTCAACAATGGACTGAACTCTTCGAGACCACACACAGAGCAAGTAGCATGGGTAACATCAGACCAAAGTACAAAAGAATTTAAGAAAAGCACGTGCTGGGACAGTAAAGAAGAGACACGCCCATTTAAATACACCAACTAGAGACACTTTTATAAACAAGAATTAACGTTTTTAAAAATTTGTGTAGAACACTATAATTTTGAATAGTACTCTAGAGAAAATATACTAACATATAACACCCTGAATTCTATACAGGTTCAGAAAACTATGAATATTTGTACGAGGTTACACATAACGCAGAAGTGTACAGCATCTCTGGGTTGAAAATGCTGTTATGCCTTATTATTTAAAGAACTCTTGAAAGGAACCTCAAAGGAAGACTTCTGTAATGTTTTCCGGATAGAAATGCACTCCATAGGTATCACTCACGTTCAATAAAGTGTCGAGAAAGCACACTTTTATCTAGGGCACAGTAATATTTGAACTTAAAAAATAAAAGCTGTTAATTCAGTTTCTGGAGTGGACATTATCTATATCCTAAGGAAAAGCACTTTACTATACTGTAATTATTTTCGAGAGCTCACCCAGCAGCAAAAGGGTATACTTGGAAAAGGATGAGAAGGAAAATGAGAATGATAGTGGTATGTTTCTAACAGTTTGCGTTGTTGTATATCCTCAGAGGACTGAAATGGTAAATGGGCATAAACAGGCCAGCTAACGGATCCGTTGCAAAATGTGAGTCTTCAGGGGGACATGCGACATTATAAATTAAAGTGTTATTTCTTTTTTACAGCTGTGATTCCTGTCACGATTGTGAAAGTTTCAATATTCTGATGCTTGGCTCTTGACTAAGTGCTCACAGGGATAACCAAATAGACGATGGAGACTTCACAAATCGGCCGACAATTAGAGATGGCATTTACATTGTTGGGATTTCATGTTGTTCACAGGTGTAGAAAAAATTTAACAATAATGTTATTATATTGAATCACCAGGCATGGTTAGTTTACGAATCATTAACATCATTTTTTTCTAAGTTGGCACATTTGCCTTGGTCTTATTGGAAATGGCCATTCAATTCGACGGTGGTCCTACCTCTTAAGTAATCCTACAGTGTCGTAAGGGGCTACCTCACAATTTTTTTCCCAATGACAAAACTACATTCAAATCTACAATTAACAAGCTGGAGGCAAGCTGCTTAACAGAAAAACAACAATGAACGTTTATAAATATTCCCATATATTATATCATAATATACATGTGCATATTTTGTGTATATCACATGAGCGTAAGACATCTAATCTATATACGTACGTATGAATGCAAACCAAAGTATCATCAAATTTTCACAGATCTAGACTTGTACTTCATATCGCATCTTTACAGATCACTACAGTACTATTAATTTGCCATGGCTCATGACTGGCACAGACAGGCACAATGTTATGTCATGACACAGCTGGTGTAGCCAAAAGGAGATTGGTATCCAATGATGTAGAGCAACATCACTCAAATGGACAGCATAATTATGTGACCAGTTATTCCTAAAAGTTTGACGGAACAGAATGTCATATACCATACAGTGGTGTTTTTAATGAAATTAAGCAAATAAGTTTACAAAGGGCATTTCCTTCACCAGTAATGACAGTGACAATTACCTAATGAGAAAATTTAAACCTGAAAACAGTAAAGCAAAAAGTGTTTTAATCCACAAAGAAAGAGGAGAAAGTTCTGTTCTTGTCGTTAAGCCACCGAAGATGTAGACATAACATACATTACAAAGATACAAAAGGAGCTTGCCAAAATAAAACACCGTCCGTAAAACTTGGAAGTATGGATTTCTGGAACTGAAATCTCCTATCAAACCAAAATGGATAACTCAGCTAAACTTTCTTCCTTCTGGGGTGTGACTTAATGAAGTGGACTGGACGAAAGTCTCACAAATTAGCTCTTCAGTTGACCTAACTTTTCATACAAAGATAGCAGTCCTGTTTCAGCCAAGTCGGAATTATACTTTCATATATATAATTTTATAATCTGTCAACATTTCATCCGTTCAAGATATATATATATTCATGTTCACATATAAAAAATAAATAAATAGGAAGAGAAAGTTTTGACTACCTGAGGGTGCAGCTTGTTTAATAGAGCTTGCTCGACTTCCCTTTCTCTGGGAACTCCCAAACATGGTGCTACTTGCAGAGCCCATGTGCTATGTACTGTGCTCACAGAATCTGTTTACAACAAAAGAGATTGATACTGAGCATTAACAAAAGTGTTTTATAAATGGCAGATACAACAGTTAAAAATACACTTGCATAAATCATTTCAAGCCAAATGTTTGAAACCCCGTATCAGAATCCCCCTACCCACCAAAAAGGGAATTTATAAATATCTGCTAGACATTGACTCAAGAAAAGAAATAAGACACACTTAGCAGTGACCATTCTTTTTACGAATGCCAAAGGCGAGAAAGTTCATGGGGTGCTTTGTTTAGTCAGTATGTATCAAGCTATTGAAAGTCTACAATGTTGTGGTCCTACCGACCATGTTGTATGGAGCCGAGACCTGGATTGTGTACCAAAGCCATGCCAAGAAGCTTAATTATTTCCATATGAAATGCCTCAGGACAATCCTTGGTATCAAACGGCAGGATAAAATACCCGACATCAACGTTCTCAAAAGCTTAAAAGGCAAATGCTGAAAGTCTGTTTTCTAAGCTCCAAAGGATTCAGCTTCGAAGAGCTGGACACGTTGAAAGAATGCCTGATTTCAGAATCCCAAAAGTACAGGGAACCGCAAGGTTGGCGCACCAAAAAAAGCGGCTCTAATTGCTGCACACATCCACAAGTGGAAGTGGACCTTTAAAATGTTCAAAATATAGCAAACTTTTCTTTGCCAGAATTGGTCTCATCGCCCACAGCAGAAGCCACATGTCATCTTAACCTTTAATTCTTCTAACTCTTCCATTTTATTGGAGAAATATTCTCCTCTGTAGATCAAAGAGCAGAGGCTGGAAGACCAAGAAGTAAAGCATATACTCATCGTTCTGATCTATCAAAATTTAAAGTGCTGGAAAGTGAGGAGGTAAAACTCTTTCTATTATTCCCAAAGCGTTCCTCCCGAAAAAAGATAACTAATTGCCACCTCATTGGGGTGGGGATAATCATGATTTCGGAGCACAAACATAGCCAGCCTCTACATGCCATCGCGCTAAAAAAGTAAAAGAAAAGGAAGTACTCGAGATCATTTTTGTCTCATTCTCAGGCATTGTATAATGCTTTTCCTGTTCATTTTTATCAGTTTTACACGAAAATTTTGACTTTATATCGATCACAAATCAGAAGCTGCCCTGTACTCTTATCCCACAATTTAATGTTTTAGCAATAGGATTGGGATTTTCTTGAAAATCATTGATATCTGCAAATTATAATGGATTATGTAGGGTAGGCCTACCCAGAAAGCCAATGATATGTTGGTTTGAACTAAAAGAAGAGCACCTGGATGTTGGAGCGATAGTAAACACTTAAACAATTGATTCTCAGCTGCTCTTATATAGGCATATATATCTAATACAATCAATACTTTTGGCATCTATCCACAATAGATTAAAACAAAATATGATATAAAACGAAATGATGTTTAATAAAATGTCAAAGTTTCAGGCTTGTTTAATGTTTGCACGCTGGCTGCTCTGAAGTCGATTTCGAATTCAAAACTCACATTTTACTTTTTTTTAAAAAGTAGACTCTATCTGTGCTACCCAACACTGGCAGCTATAGAGTCTAGTACTAGAATCTAGTATAGAAAATGGCAGATCTTTTGGGCGCACACTGCACCAAATTTCACATGTTGGAATCACAAAATGTCTGGTAGAAGGAAGAGGCTAGCCGTACTTAATGACGGCTAGACTGCCAGTTTAGCCGTACTTATTCTTAATATGATGGCTAGACTGACCATTTACAAAAAATAGGCCTATAGTAAATATACATTTTTTGTGTGCAGTACCTTAAGTATTTGAGATGAAACCAGGTGCCTTAAGCCTTAATGACAGTGCATGTATTTTAAACCTCCTGTTTTCTAATGTTAATAGGGCCTAGGCCTAAGATAAATACGGCTAGACTGGCAGGCTAGCCGTACTTAATATTGATGGCTGAATTGTAAATGAAATGTTTAGTTTGCAATGCCTAAAGTATTTGTATTTCAGACAAAACCAAAAGGTGCCTTGCCCTTACTGACTTGCATGTATTTGAACCTGAATAATTACTAGATCTAGATCTAGATCTAATGAGACCTGTGTGTACTTCACAGGCTTGAGTCGATAGGGCCAAACCTAGATCTAAGTACGGCTAGACTGACAGAATTAGATCTAGATCTAGAGATCTATATTTCCCACTTTCATGACCTTTCACATAAATTTAATTCAATTTCCAAACTTAAGACAGCTCTGCAATTTGTTATCATGTCATTAAAAAAGCGGAAGCATCATAATCACCATGGTGATTTGTTTGTAAATATTTATTAGGCCTTCGTATTTATTATCTTCCTTCCACTCCACTGTTCGAGAGGAATACATCGACGAAGTGGTAATAAACGTTGCATCAACTTTTACTTATATTGAAACTCCTACAAAATAGTCAAGCATTTCAAAACCTTTTCACAAAGCACACCGTTGGTAAGTTCTTCGTTTTGTTCTCTGTAGCTGGTAATGATCGAAAGTAGCAGACCCAAAGATTTTATAAATAGAACTAGAGGTCTTAGCTGTGACGTCACGAGTGTCAAACTTGAGGCGCCTGCCGCCATTCCCGAGAGGAATAAAAGGATTGTCTGTGCACAGCAACACTTTTCAATCACGGATTAATGATACTCTGCGAAGTCTTTTGATGTTGATTTCTATTTCATGTGATTTGCCTATCGCTAAAATATACTTTTAAGGATTTTTTTTTTTATTGTTTACTTTTAAATGGCCCTAATAATCTCCAAATAATGCAAATTATAGGGCCTTACATGGTGAGACCGTATGGGTGAGTAAACATTTTTTTAAATGAATGAGATGGACTTGATGATCACTTGTTAAAATTTAAAAAAAAAACATAATTTTATTAGGAGCACAGTTCTCCCCACCCATGACCCACTATGTCTAGATTTAGCACCGCTGATCACAACAAGACGCTCATATCGGCCCTCAAGAATCAGGAATGTGTCTGAGCAGCTGCTAGAAGCTCCAGCTGCAACTCTAGTTCACCTTCAAGGCTGGATGAACCGAAAAGAACCACTGTCGATGTTGTTGAGATGCAAGAATATAAAGTAGCCAACCAGGCGTAACTACCCACAAATAATACCGGCATAATATTCTGCCTCATTTGCGAAACCGATGCCAAACAGCATGTGCAATAGCAGCAGCAGGGATTCATGGAAGATGGGGTGTTGTATAGCCACACACCATTGCCAGTCAATGCCAATTTTAGAAAATAATAATTGTGAACGTTTAAGATAAACCGGCTTTATCTAAGTTGCATTTTAAAATGTTGTCAGTAATATTATAATTATCTGTGCCTGATATTAAACAGCGCTCTTTGGGTGTGGCACAGGATCTGAACAATGGGTGATTTACTGTATCCCAGCCTACATAATTGCTCACTTTGAGACAATAACGAATTAATGTATAAATAATGAACCCAGCCTTAACCCCCTTCATACTCTATGAAGACCTGGGCTTTGCATCAGTAGAAGGAGTGTAGACAAAAAGACATAGAAGCTATCCATTTTTGTGAGTACCCGGTATGAAATGTTTCTTTTCTTAACAAACTCAGTTACTGGCTTTGTCTCGACCCCCCAACAAACGAACAACAGCAACACAACAAAAGGGAAGCAAGAGAAGATCTAAGCAAGATAGAAATAAAAAAGATATGAAACTGAAACATAAAGTGAGTTTTTGTTTGTTTGTGTGCATGTTTGTACGTTTTTTTTTTTTTTTTTCAAAACTTCAAGTTTGTTTATCGTGTCTCCAGCCAAAATTGATAAATCAACATTGAAATGCAAATTGTATCAATGCAAAAGGACTTGCCAACAACGAAAGCCAAGACTCACAGGTTCTCAAAACAAACACAGCATCGGTAACAAAATCCAGATTAGAAACCGAAACAAACATGACAATTATATAAATAAAACACTTGTAATAGAATAATACACAGCGCAATACGATGAGAAAGTTAAAAAAAAACACCAAAAAACTCCAAGTAAACCCTCTAAAAGCCATAAACAAATGGAGAAATCTTATTCAATGTTAGGTTTACCTTCTTGGGAACATTTTTAAAAAATGTTTGCCTAATTTCTGTTTAATTAAACTAGAATATTTCTCTTTCTGATTGCACGTTCATTAGAAATATTTTTTATTTACGGGTGCTCCCGTAGTCTTATGAATATCCCACAGCTCGTACATGTGTGAATAACAATCAATGTTTTTTTTCTACTTTATAAAGTTCCCTGTGATTTAAACATTTCGAAGAAGAACCCCGAAAAATAGTCAAAGAAAGAAAGAAACAAATGACGATTGGACAACTAAGCAAGTTGAATGAAGCGTGTGTTTCTCAATTTTCAGCCCCTGAAAAAGTTAAAGAATCTGATTTTGTTCAATTTAAGTTCTTGCAAGAAATGCTTTTCCAAAAACAGGAACAACCCATTGTTGTGAAAGAACACCTTTAACTCGGTGAATATTTTTCCTTTAAATTTTTTCAGGAACTTGCATTTTTAATTTTTAAAGGAAATTCCAGCCATGCCTCTCCACCTGCTTGGCGTAGATCTAGAGATGAACAACAATTTTTTAAAATGACAACAGTAAAAAAAAAAAAAGTAAAAAAACAATAAAAAACAAACAGACAACAGCCCCCCC